CACGCTCGTGAAGTCGAAGATCCGTCAAATCCAGTAAGTAAAATTTCTCAACTTTTCCTCTTTACTTCATTAATTGCTATAGTTGATTTCTCTTATGTTGAATAATAAATCGATTATCTCATTTTTTCTTGACGGATTCGGCTAACAAAATCGAACTTTTTTATAAAAAAATTTTCTTCGATTTGGTTGCAATTTTCTCATTGTTTGGCTCATTCTTGTTCTAGATAAGAAGGGTAAACTCTGAACAATCTTCCGGTAATGAAAAATTTAAACTTTGAATTCGAAGATTTCTAAAACCTTCCTCATTGGGCTTCAACAGCTTCTGTTCTGTGTTCATGTATATGTGAAACTCTCACTGATTTTGTGGCAGTGGAAGATGAGGAAGATCCAGCGACGAAGAACAAGAACACAGATGGTTTAACCAAAGAGCCTCGTGAAGGCATTGAATTTGAATCCGAAGATGAAGCTAAGATGTTCTACGATGATTACTCTAGACGTTTAGGGTTTGTGATGCGTGTAATGTCTTGTCGGAGATCAGAGAAAGATGGAAGAATACTTGCTCGGAGATTTGGTTGTAATAAAGAAGGTCATTGTCTTAGTATACGTGGTAAGTTTGGATCAGTTAGGAAACCAAGAACGAGCACAAGAGAAGGTTGCAAAGCAATGATTCATGTTAAGTATGATCGGTCTAGCAAATGGGTCATAACTAAATTCGTTAAAGAACATAACCATCCGCTTGTTGTTTCGCCTCGCGAGGCTCGTCAAACTCTGGTGAGTATGTTCACATATTATGTCCTTTGTGTAATGATAACAAAGTGTTTGAGTTGAGCAAAAATGTGTTACATTCTTTGTAGGACGAAAAGGATAAGAGAATTCAAGAATTGACTGTAGAGCTACGAAACAAGAAACGGTTATGTGCAGCGTACAAGGAACAGCTAGATTCGTTTGCAAAGATTGTCGAAGAACATAGTAATCGAATAGCGAAGAAAGTTGAGAATGTGGTAAACAATTTGAAAGAATTCGAACCTATAGAACTCGAGCTATTGCAAAGTAAACAAGGTCCACTCTTCTAAGTAGCCAACTATGAGTGTTTGGAACTGTATATTATATGAATCGGTGAAGTTTTCTCTTATCGCCTTTCCCCGATCTCAAGTTGTTTCAGCGCAATCTTAGTTTGTGTATTGTAATTTGAGAAACCGTGTAAACATAGATAAGAAGTGAACATGAAGGTTATACATATAGATCATGTTTCAGGACATGAATTTAAACTCTTACCTTAACAATCTATTCAACAACACTAAACCAGATGAATCTTACATTAGCTCAGAAAAAACCCTAAAAACCAAAAAAGATAACACATTTTCATTTGGGATTACAATGTTTTGATTCATCAAAAGAAGATTATTTACAGAGGAAGAAACAAGAACACAAAACCAATCAATGGAATAATCAACACACTCTCTTTTCTTCTGTCAAATGATCAACTACTGCTACTAAAGCCACCACCTTTCATCATCTGAAGAAACTCTTTGTAATTAACTCTACCATCACCATCTGCATCAACTTGCATAATCATCTTCTTACAACCTTCTAGGGTTTTACCTTGCTTAAGTCCCAAGGAAGCCATCACCGATTTCAACTCCTCCACTGTAATAAACCCATCTCCATCTTGATCAAACACGTTAAACGCTTCTTTCATGTCATCTTCCTCTGTTTCACCATCGTTGCGACGCTCATCAACGATAGAGCTGTACAGAGACTCGAACTCGTCTATATCGACGCAACCATCACCGTTTGCATCGATCTTATGTATCATTTGAGTAAGATCTTTGTCTGGTATGTAGATTCCTAGATTCTCTAATGAATCGTTGAGTTCTTCCTTTGTGATTCGACCGTCTCCGTTCTTGTCGAACATCTGAAAAACCCTTTTGAGTTCTGCCGGATCTGTTCTTTTGGTCGGAACAGACGACGGAGTCGGTGAAGGTGACGGTAACATCGATGGTGGTGAGTTCTTGTGGAGAGTTTTGTCGAACCAAGAGAGAGGGAAGAGAGTTTTAAGCTTCTTTGGTACTAAAGAGAGAAGAAATGAGTTTAATAGATTGTATAGAAGGAATATTCTCACCATAACTGTTGGAACAAAACTCTTCTTTTCTTGATGAAAGAAAACAGAGAGAAGATCTGAGAAAAAAACAGAGAGAGCTTTGAAAACAGAGTTTTTGGTGATGGAGAAAAAAACTTGGAATTTGTTGGGTTTTTTAT